TTTCAGCCTATATTTTTTCTTCTTCCCTTCTATTCCTATTACCTGCATATTCATATTGGTTAAATATTAATCAGGAAATTTTTGTAATATTGTATTAAAATCGTTAGGATTATTTATATGAACTGTAAAAAGAATGGTGCATAACAACGTACCATCATGTAAATAAGCGTCAGCATTTAAAACTACGTATTAAAAATACAAAAGCAAACATAAATAAAAATAAATCTGTGCCTAAATGTGCTTGAATATGCATCAGTAAGTGTTGAAGTGTTTATCTTAAAATGGCACAAATAATTTTTTGTTCACTGCTTCGTGGTTTAGAACGTTTGCTTTGCCGCTTCCACAAAAATTGTGTTCTTTTGTGAATATGTATCACGCTTATATATATATATATATATATATATATATATAATATCAATTAAAATATTTGCACAAATCATTTAAAAATATTAAGCATTACATTTACTTACCTCTTCACTTGATGTAGCACCTCATATCAATCACATCCTCACAAAAGGTTTTCAAACATTTCACGCACTCAAAACAGTTCGCTCACATGGTCTCAGAAGCATCAAACTATCAAACTATTCGACATCACTGAATCACCCATAATCTCACGCATCAAATATGCAGCTCCCTCCTGGTCTGGTTTTGCTACACAACAACTTCAGCTACTACAATCTTTCATCAGAAAACTAATTCACCTCAACCATCTACCTGCATCATATCCTACCGTCACTCAGATATTCAACACACTCGACTCAAAACTGTTCAAGAAAGTTGAAAATAACAACAACCACGTCATCCATCTTCTTCTACCACCAATTAAAACTACTACACACAACCTTCGTCAACGCAAGCATAACTATCAAGTCGTCACTCAATTAACATATCAAATTATGACCTTCATAACAATATACCTTAAATATATTACTATTCAAAAAAACTGTCATTTACCCAATTTTGTCTATTCTCTATTCTTATCGATCACATAATCTCTTACTTACTAAGTCATTATCTAGTCTATTAATTAGTCGTTTTATTTATTTGTCTTTTTAAATCAATTTATACTTTATTTCATTTTCCACACTTTTCATGCTTAAACATTTTTCTCCGTTATTTATTTTTCGTCATTTAATACTATTGCCATGGACGCTGTAGCAGTTTCTGCGTTTGTCAGATTCTAATTTTTTAAAGAATATAAAAAAAAACTTTTAAACACGTTGATGACTTAAGCGCCATATTATATATATTATATTTATATATAGGGGTTCCATATTATTTAAAATTTTCTTTTCTTCTTTGGAATCCTTTTTTATGTTTGTTTTTACTTTTTTTGAAATAAACATGTTTAAAAAATTGTAAAAATATGTCTTTCATCTGTTGAATGAATGAGTGTGTAAAGTTAATCAACCTAATGATAAACTATTGAGTAAATAATTAGCAAATAAATATAAATGACCGATTAATGGACAATTGAACGGACGAACGAATTTTAAATAAATTATCAAATACTCGGACAATTGATTGAATGAATATTTTTTATTTTAAAATTTATTATACTTCAAAGGTTTTGAAATGTGCAAATGAAACTAAAGGAGGGCTTCATAATTATCAATGAATATTTTTAAATTAATTTTGAATTTATAATAAAATATTCATTGTTCAAATTAGCTCAAAACGAATGAATGGATGAAAAAATGAATGAACGAATGGATGAAAAAATTAATGAACGAACGAATGAATAAATAAATGAACGAATGAATGAATAAATGAATGAGTGAATGAATGAGCGAATGAATGAATGAGCGAATGAATGAATGAGCGAATGAATGAATGAGTGTGTGAGTGAATGAATGAACGAATGAACGAATGAATGAACGTTTGTGAAACCAAAAAAATTATTTTAATTGAACACATTTTCATTTTTGTAGTTTCTGTTTTGCACGGCTTTTTAAATATCATTGTTTTGTTATTAATCAGATTGATAAATTTGAATACAAATGAAATCATATTTTCAACGTTCCAATGTGAATGAGAATTAATTAAAATTAATAAAAGTGTTAAATGATGGATATAAATCTGTCTGTTCCTCTGCTAAGCTGTTTACGAGGCTGATATTTATATTAGCATTAATAACACTAATGCAGTATAACAAACATTTTTATGACAGATTTACAATTATTAACATTTCATTAACTTTCCTGTTTACGATCCCATCAAACTAAGGTTCACTAACGTTTGTGTGCACGTGTGTGAGTGTGTGTGCTTGTGCACGTGTGTCCGAAATTGTGTATCTTTTTTAAACTGGGAAACAAAGAATGTTTTTACGATTACATTAAAAAAAATTAGTAAAAATAAATGGCGAAGAAATATCATAAAAAATTATGGAACAGTTTGGATGCAAATCCTTACTAGTCACATAACGAGTCTGACAGAGGCGCAAATAATGTTACACGTGTACGTACATTCAATTTATTTCACAGAGGAAGGCGTGGTCAATCAAATTACACCATTACGTAACTATCGCTTTTAAATGTCAAACCAAAAGCATTTCAAAATGTTTTTTCATGTATTATTTGAGTTATCTTATTTAACAACAACTTTCAAACCACAGACGAACAACTCCTCAAACACGAAAATATTCCGACACCACATCACTATACAAACATAGAGATACATCACCATACAAACATAGAGACACATCAACATACAAACATAGAGACACAATAACATACAAACACAACAACACACAAACATAGAGTAATGCAGAGACGGAGTAACGCACGCACATGTGTCTGTTGGTCAGCAACATTCAAACTTTAGCGCAACGTGACACGTTCATGAACATTGAGAACTAACAATAACAACAAAATCATTATCATCATCTCCAAACTTTTAATGTATACATGTTTATATATATATATATATATATATATATATAGAGAGAGAGAGAGAGAGAAACAGACAGAAAGAAAGATAGATAGATAGATAGATAGATAGAGAGAGAGAGAGAGAGAGAGAGAGAGAGAGAGAGAGAGAGAGAACGAACTCGAACTTGCGTACATTGCGTGAGATTATTACGTAATGAGCAGTTGTGATCACTTTTCAAATGGCATCCAAACAACTTCTTTATAACATTGATCGTCATTATAACCATTGACTGCTGATGTTGCTGCTGAATGAAGAGAAGTAAAATTAGCAAAAAATACTCTCACCAGTACTACTAACACTAATACTACTACTAATACTACTACTAATACTACTACTACTACTACTACTACTACTACTACTACTACTACTACTACCACAACAATTATTACTACTACTACTACATACTAATACACTAATACTACTAATATTCTACTTCTCTGATTACTACTACTACTAGCACTTAACTACAACTTAGAATAATAGTAAATTTTTTATAAATACTATGAGCTAAATTAATATTATTATTTTGTTACTAAAAATACTTTGAACAATTTTCATAACTTTTTTATTGTTTATGAAATTCGTGTTGATTGAATATTACTTTCTCTCGTGAACATGATTTCCAAATGTCAGACGTCACTTTAGCTACTCCTTTAACAACTGAATAAAATGGATAACAAATAGTTGAAAATTGAAAATAAAGATAAATAAAAATAATTGAAGCACTTTAGCAATTTATTTCTCAACTAAAACTGGTTAAAAGGAATAATAAATAATAACATATTGAAAATAAAGATAAATAAAAATAATTGAAGCGCAATAAAAGTGTTTTCTTTGACGTGAACTCTTATAAAAGCAACAGCCCAATAAAGGTGTCTCTCCATTTACTACTCATAACTATCGTGAACTTTCTGTTACGCAATGCAATTGGTTGTAATTAACAATGGGGGAGGAGCTAACAATTTAACTTTTAGACTATATAAAATGAACGTTGGGTAACCAATTTAATCAATTTGTTTTGAGCAGCTCATTATTAAACGTTTGAATCTGCACTTATTAAAGAATTTCTAAAAATTAAAATTTTTTAATTAACGGACGCTAATTTTGTCTACAAAACTTTTAGAACGGTCTACAAACGTTTTAAAAGACTCATTAAAATTCTTAGTCCTGCTAATGTAATTATAGTAAGAATGGAAAATAGATGGTCATTGGGCACTAAGATGTTACTGGATGAGATCCCGCGTGAAAACAATGCCACTGATGCAGTTGGCCTAAATGACTCACAAATAACAAACATCCACATTAGCAAAAACAACAACACCAGAAAACCATCAATATTCAGTTCAGTCAATTTGCTTGTCCAATCGTCTGGAGAAAAACTGACAACAAATAATACAACTGATTCAGAGGACAACACGAGCAGCTGTGCAAACGACTACAAATATGTGGATCCTGTACTTCTTTGTGAATCCGGTCAAATTGCGCCAGTGAAGGAAGTGTATGGAACTGACATTCAACACTTTAATTTGATCCCAGACCAAAAAATCAGCAGAGCTAAAAAACGCCTTCAGTTTGATGCAACGTTATCAACACCTCTCCACCACAGCACACCTCTTGCTCACAATTTAAAATGCAACACAAAACTTCAAACGAACAAATGCAATGAAACTTTCATAAACACGGCCAACACTCCACGAAATTTCAACAGCAGCAGCAGTTGCAGTTGGTTTCAATCTCAACAGCAACAAGACTCTGGAATTCAAAGTGGAAACAGCAATTTATTCAGTGGAACATCAATTGATCTTCGAAACACCAACGAAACTTTTTCCAACTCCTCCAACAGCAGGAGTTTTGTGGCAAATGAAGATCTTCCCCAGTCAAGCAAGCGAATCTGTTTGCAGGAAAAACCAGTTGAAAGCAACGTTGAACTGGTGAACGGTGGACGAGGAATAAAGAACCCACTACTGCAGAACCACCTGATCAAACAGTTGCACGAAGGACAAGATCTCAGTAAGTACATCATGAGCGATAATGAACAAATAAATCTAACTTATAATACTAACCATATGATTTTCAATTGTACAGGTGTGCAGACAGAAGACAACAAGTTCTTATGTCGAGTTTGTTTGAAGAGCTTTTCTTTGCAGCGACTTCTCAATCGCCACGTCAAGTGCCACACGGACATCAAACGCTACCTCTGCACATTTTGTGGCAAAGGTTTCAACGACACTTTCGACTTGAAGAGACACACAAGAACACACACTGGTTGGCTTTCATTTACATATTTCTTTTTTTGATTTCTAAGATTTTCAAACAAAATTACAAATAAAACGATTTTGGTCAATTGAATAATAACTTTGTTGAATTTAAAATTGATGCAGGAGTCCGTCCATACAAATGCGAGCATTGTGACAAGGCATTCACACAACGTTGTTCACTGGAGTCACACGCGCGGAAGGTGCACAACGTTCAGTTCAATTACAAGCACAAGGAAAGGAGAGATAAGTTGTACGTGTGTGAGGAGTGTGGTCACTCGACGAGACAGTCCGAGGAGCATTTTGTACACATGAATGACCAACATCCACACGTGCCTACGTCCAACGAATGTTCAAACATTCCTCCAGCTTCACAGGAAAATGTTCATTCCAGAGCAAGTTGTCTTCGTGGGAGTATCAATGCTGATGTTACTGACCAGGTCAGTTGTGGTGGCAGTAATGACCGGAACAATCATGCTGGTTGTGATGACCAAACCAACAATGTAAAGGAGGAAAGTGAAGACAGCGATGAAGAGATAGATGTTGAATCACCAGTTGTTAACTTATTTCCATACCGATGAGTTGCTTGCACTCTACGGTACATCACCTGGACACCTGGATTGTTTCATTCGAAAAAATTCCAATTTGTTTTTCAGACTTGAAAGCTTGCATTTTATTCACTTTATTTTGGTTTGATATAAATTGTACATATTCATTTTATTCTAACATATTAATTGAAGCTTGAAAGCTTTAATTCTCATCAGAAAATTTTATTTTATCTCTAACTGTAAATATTCATTTGTTTCTATCTAATTCATTGATTCATCCTATATGTACATTGTTGTATTTTATAGAATATTGTATGAATTTTACCGAATTGTTGGCATTAATCAATTTAAAGTTGGTCTTTTCATTTTCCTTACTTTTCGTTAATATTTTTACGAATATCTTTACTAATTGAAAAGACAAACTTCAAGTTTATTAATACTAACAAATCGGTAAAATTCATACAATACTGTATAAAACATAGTCTCCTTCCAACAATGTTGTTTTTATATAGGTTGAACTTGAATTGTATATACGTGCATATTCATCATTGCTGTTACGTTAACAATGAACGTGTTCTATTTATTGTAATAAAAGAATTTGTATAGCAATCTTATTTTTTGTTAATTTTATTAACTGAACAATAATAAAAACTTACTCAATTGTTAATTTAACAAAAATGTTAACACCATATTTGCAAGAAATTAGTAATTTAGTTGGTTTTGAGGTGTTCAACGCAGGAAATTTTTTGGTTAGAAAACACCGTTTTAATGTTCACGGCGATTCATGGCGGAGTTTCTTTGCAAGATAACGACGATACCTAACAATTAACGAAAGAGACTAATAAAAATCGATTCAAAAAGCTTTTCAATGCATCTCTTAATCTTTCTGCTTATATCTATTGAGAAAGTTCGCCATCTATAATGTTTGGAATTATTATTTATGTCTTATATTAGCAAACAAATTTAGGTAAGTCGTTGAATGTTGAAGGTTTTCCGATGTTTCCGTTTTTAACACTGCTATGAACAATCATTAACGTTTATAAACACACACACACACACACACACACACACACACACACACACACACACACACACACACACACACACACACACACATATTATTTCGGAAATTTATATACAGTGCTTTTTTATTGTTGAATCTCAAAAGCGCTACTAAATCATAGACAAATAAGACGGACATTCATTGTGCAAATAAATAAGTTTTAAGTTGACTTCGAAATTGTAAATATGATAGGTTAGGGTCACGTAAGTAAGGAGGTAAACCATTCCAAACAACCGGGCCAAGAACTGCAAAGTTGCGGGAACCCGTCACCAACTTTGTGGTCGAGATAAAAAATAAATTGCGCTCGGTTGATCGGAAGGAATATTTTGAAAAATGAGATTTATATGATTCCAATCTATCGATGAGATAGGGAGGTGCTGTATTATTGATAAATTTAAACATCAAAACTGCCAACTTGAAGGAAACACGTTTTTCAACCCTCAACCAGTGCAACCTATTCAAAATCGGCGTAACATGATCGAACCACGAACCACCCAAAACCAGCTTGGCCGCACGATTCTTTATTGACTGAAGCTTTGAAAAAGACTTTTTGGTGACACCATAAAAAGGCCATTGCAGTAGTCCAGTCTGGAAAAGACGAAAGAGGAAACCAAACTTTGAAGAACAGACGTGTTTAGTGATTTTTTGACATTGCGTAATAAACGGAGTTGGTTGGAGCAGACTTTCACTACATTATTAATATGTAAATCTATCTTTAGGTTTGAGTCAATAATAACTCCAAGACTACGGACAGATGTGGAAAATTCAATGGTGTCATTGCCGACACTGATCGATGAAATTTTGACCATTGACAGCTGCTGCCAAGAACCAACCGGTAATATTTGTGTTTTAGATTGATTTAACTTTAACTAATTCATACTCATCCAAGATCCAATTTCGATGTGACAATCAATCAGTTCATTCAGAGAAGTATCAATCGAATCAACAGGACAAGAAACCAATAACTGAATATCATCAGCAAAGGCGTGGGAGCTTAACTCATATTTTTGAATGATCAGTGTAAACTGCTGAAACATCAGCAGTGTACATAAGACACCAAACGATAGTTTGTTTATGTCAGAGAGGGTGTTGTTGTAAGAAATCTGCTGGGTGCGGCCTATATATATATATATATATATATATTTATTTATTTATGTGTATAAGGAATGAAAGAAAAGGTTGACAGAGAGAAATGTATAATGTGGTTGTGATCGAAAAACCATTTCATTTTTATTATAAATAATTTTATATTAATTTCATTTAAATATGTTGGAAACTACTCGTGGTTGCTTGCAACTCAACTGTAAATGCGGAAAAAAACATAATAAAATACAACACTTTACAGTTTGATCCTAAATGTCGGTTAAATTAATAAACAGCAAGACTAGTACAAGAAATGGAATATTTTTACGTCTGTCTGTTCAGCCAGTCAAAGTCAACCAATGAGTCTTAAATTGATTACACATCGGCATCCTTTCTTATATAAATTATAAACGTCACAAAGACCACACATCTCATGTTTTACATCATGCATCACATCGTGACATCGCAGCAAGACATCCTTACAAATTCATTGCTGCCATTCCTATTTTTGTGGGGTGTAACGTTTTGTGTGGTTGTATTAGAATTTAATTAGTTCATGGAAGACGTTTTAAATCTTGTGTGCTTTATTGCTTAGCGTTTCTTCAATTCTGTTACGTCACATTTTACATTATTGTTGTTTGTAAAATATAGCAATGGTTGTTTTGAGAAGTTATAACTTCAATTTGTTTTGTATCTTTTTTCACATTTTTAATCCAGGAAATACAGATGTCAACAGTAAACAGACGAAACAGAAGTGTAGTAAGTAAAGTACGATTTGAAGGAAACGTTCAATGATGTATTAAATAAAAATCTTATAAAATTGAATTGATAACATGTGTGCAAGTTGTTACATTTTTCTATCTAGTAAAAGCCGGTAAGAGTAGGTAAACGATCGATAAAATATAGCAATGGTTGTTTTGAGAAGTTATAACTTCAATTTGTAAATAAAAACAATTACCTTGAGCTGTTTTCATCTTACTTATATTTTCATCTTTGCGTTTGTTTCTATATTTTAAATCTTGCAATGAATTTTTTAATAGCTTTCCTTTGACCAAATAAACTTGCTCATTTTCTGATGACAATACATAAATTAAATAATAAGTTAATGAACATATCAATAAATAATTAAAATAAATTAGTAATTTCTCTGGCGAATAAATAATAAATATTTACAATATATGCGAAACCTTCCACTAAAAAAGAAACTCTCCGAATTTTCGGTCTAGCCGAATGTTCGCCCAAAATTTGGCATTTTAATAACGAATAGCCAAATAATACAATTTCGTTTCGCCATCAAATTTTTTTAGATTCTAAGAACAATAGTTGTTGATTATTATTATTAGCGAGAAATTTAGTTATGCCATCATAACCGTGAAAATAACTGAACTTGAACTGGAGATTAAATATTATCGCAATAAAAAATGTTGGATAGACATAAACAGCCTACTGTTTTGTTTCGCTTGTTTTTTATTCTAAAAATTTATTTTTGAAAATTGTGGGTTATTTTTCAACTTCAACTTTGGCCATAATTATTTGGTCATATGCCCACAGCCACATTCACCATTCGGTGCATTTCTACATTCCACGCAAAGCACAAATGATGAAAATTTTTACTTCAATCAGATAATTTGTATTGTTTTTTTATTTATGGCAAAATCAATTTTACACGTAAGTAGTTTTTAGAAAAAAAGGAATAAAAAATCTATTTCACCCTGACTGACTTGTTATGAATTATAATAATTTTACTTATGACGTGGCTCTGGTTTGTGCTGGGGTGCGTATATAAAGGACAAATTTGACCTGTCGCTACAATAACAAAGCATTGGGGTGTAATTTATATACGTTAAAATTTTGTTGTCGCGCTTGGATAAGCATAAGTGGATTTTACTCGTGGAATTTTGTGTGAATGAATCATTTTACTTTCTTATGGCATCTGCAATGAAGGTTTGAATGCTTGCTTAAGTTTTTTGCAATGAAAAGTGGACTCCAACTCCAGTTTCATTGTTGTGTATACCTAGAAGGTATTTTTTTTATTATTGTGCGTCTTGTATGGCATAAACACTGCCACATTCCCATTATTCCTATTTATTTGTATCGTAACAGGTTCTGTCAGATTGCTGTACACAATAGAAACACATAACCACATGTTGTGAGGCTGGCGTCGTATGTAGACATTAATAAGTCTGGGTCTCATTTATTTGGAGTTTGTGTAATTTTTTTGTGGTGTTTTTATGTGGTATTTGTGTGGTGTTTCTGTGGTAATCATTGGTTTGGTGTTTATGTGGCGTTTTCTGAGATGCGTGGTGTTGCTATTGTGTGTGTTTGGTCATTGTTTGTAGTTTGTGTGTAAGTTGTGAGTTTGCAGTGTCAAATACGTGAAACATCATGCTAGCATAAGTGTGTCTCGATGTTATAGAATTCAGAATGCACGTGTTCGCATGTTGTTTCTGTTCAAGAAGTTCATGACAGTTTAGCGATTTTCACATATATTTACACAATGTAATGTAATACATTTTGCTAGACCTAACCAAATAACTTGATCAATTCAATTGTTATTAAAATGTTACAGATAAATAAAAAATTGCGCTAAATAAAGTTATATCAATGATTGTAAATTATCAGTTGAAATCAAAAAATGTCTGTGAAGTCATTTTTTAATATTTAGAATAAATGAATAAATATTTTGCAACTTTATTATTTTTATAAAGTAGTTGATGAGAGTTTTTAATCAAATTTTAGAAGTCAGTAAACCTAAAATGCGTTTTTATTTTATCAATGACAATAATAAATTATAATAAAAGCCTATTGAACATATCATGTTGGGTTGTTGATTTTTTAACTCGTGTTTGCTTCTAAGAAGAATAAGCAGAAAAAATCCTTTTACTGCTACCGTTGTCAATATTGTAAGTAAGTTTATGGTTATCAAATGTGTATGGGACTTTTGATTTGATGTCCACAATGTTGTACACACTATGTTCACAAACTTGTTTATTCAAATGCATGACCACGAGTGACCAAACGAATCATCAACGACTTAATTACAGTTATTTTTTTGTGCTGGCTTCCTTTCAACAGAATGAATAGGTAGCGATGATGTAGAGAAGAAAGCATTTATTTCTAATTGAACCTGCCAATTTGGGAAGCTGACTGCTATTGATTTGTCCTCATATAGAAGAAATAATT